GTGGTATCTTCTTAGTATGCAGATAGGTAATACAAAGAGATACAAATGAAGTGGAAACAAATCTAAATCACATTGAATACAATAACGAAAAATTTAATGATGAAAGGAATAAAGAAAGTTAGTTTTAGAAAAAAAAATAACACAAATTACTCCTTATATCTGCATCCTTTTCCTTGTTACCTACGAAGGTTTAGTCTAATTAATTTATTTTATTTTATTACATTGTAGATATCTTTTAAATACAAAGACTTGGTTTTTTAACTTACTATCGATGGAACGTGTACTGTTACATATTGTATAACAACTGTTAATTTATACAAACTTTTATGTACAAGTTATTTAAATGAAAATAAATTCCTTGTACGAAAAATTGAGAAAGTGGAGAAAAAGACAAAGTAATTTTGCCCTTTACAAGTCAAACATCAACTATTTATTTTTTGTTTCTTAAATTCAAACGTTTTGTTTTGTATACTTATATCTATGTTTATAAATAGCATATAATACATAATTGTATAGTATGTATAAAAATAGAAATGCAATAATGAGTTATAAAAATCATTTCTTTCTATATTTTTTGTATGTCGCTGACAATTAAATTATATAAGCCTAAAATTAAACGGTTTTGAATTCTCAGAACCGTTTTATTCGAGCTCCTTTAATACTAATATCAATTAATTAATATTAATAATGTAATACTAATTAGTAGGTATACAGGGTGTCCCAGAATTAGTATAGAAAAAATGATGAATGGTGCTTTGTTTTTAAATTATTAATGAAAAACGAAGCAACGTCCGACATTTTTGCAAAGGAAATTGTGGTTCAGAATAGTCTCAGCTACCTCCCATTTCGTGGTACACAATTGTGCCATCCCTGCGCGTTCAGTGAACGTCGTTCACACGCTGAGTCACCATTGCTACGCGTTGTGGGAATCCATAGTCGGTGAAGAGATACTTTTTGGCAGGGCTGGATGTAACACGAGGCATCAACATATCCTTATTATAAATACAACAGTGTTAAATAACCAGGATATTGAATTTCCAATGACATTGAATCAAATAAAAAAATTTGAACATCTCAACATCTCCATCAAGGTCGATATGACTCACTGATAAGAAGATGAAGAGGCATATCAGTTTGTTGTATTTAGAAGGAGTAAATTGAGTAAACAAATTGTCAAAAATACTTTTGTAATAGGTATGTACATAATACATTGTTTTTAAATATGTTATGTGAGAAAAATTATGTTTCTTATTAAAGATGCTTGCACTACTTTAGTTCGAGGAAGAAGCTGGAAGCTCACACCGTGGATTGTGAAGAGATGAATGATTTCGCAATCGTATTGCCAAATGATGACAGCAAGTGGCGCAGCTTCAGCAACTGCAACAGGAAAAAGGGTTCCATTTATCGTGTACGCAGATCTGGAATTCATCTTGGAGAAAATGAATACTGATCGAGAAGCGTCAAGATACACATACCAGCATCATAGAGTATTTAGTGTGGGACATTATGTGCACATCGTGTAAAGTCCATTTTATCGATCAATGTATCCATGGAAAATTTATCAACTGAACAATTGCAAAATTTTAATACTGCTGCACACTGTCATACATGCGAAACACTGTTTGCACAAGATAACAAGTGGGTACGCGATCATTTTCATTTGACCGATCAACTTATCTGGTTACAATCCACATTGTATTATCAAGGAGATAGCCACAGCATTCGAGGGTGTTGTCACTGTATTGCCTATAACAAACGAAAACTACATTTCATTTATAAAATACATTGAAAACATGGATGAAGAATCCAACTCTCGCAACTGCATAAAAATGGTATTCATCGATTCGTTAAAATTTTAAATACAAGTCTTGAGAAATTGGCATCTTTTCTTAGTAAAGGTAAACTTCAAATTACACGGTCAGAGTTTCAAGAATTATCTGTGAAACATTTTGATTTGTCATTCAGTTGTACATCTGTAACTCAGAAATTCAATTGTTCGTGAAAGTGGCGTTTTGCATCTTTAGATTACAATTCATAATGTGTGTTTTGACATTTGCAGAATTAGTTTTTACTGTCTCTACACTCAATGGTAATAATAAATTACTTTCTACTGGCGCAACAAATATTAATCATCGCACTCCAATTTATACGTAATTTATATTAATCACGGTTTATTTTACGTTTTATATTAATTACACATTATTTTATATTTTATATTTACACGTTATATATCTTATAACCATCGCCTTATTTTATATACTTAATCATGATTTATTCTTTCTTTTGTTTTTGTTAATCACGCTTAGTTTAATGTATCAGTTTATATGAAAAATAGTTAATAAGAAAAAATATATACTTATAAATATAAGTTTTGGATCAGTGCCTCCGCACCGTATCTCCTTTCCCATTTTGTTACTAATTTTATATCGACATGATTGCGTATATTTTTCATAGTTTTGCCAAACATAGCATTTTTCATTAACTTGTATAAATTTTTCTTGGTAAAGCTTACATAACGTTAAAAGATTTTGAGATGTATTCTGAAAGTTCATAATTTTATAAAATTGCTACGAAGGGGAGGGAAGGAAGAAATTAGATGTTTTCTTTTTTTAAATAATGTAATTTTATTTCCAAAAAAGATACATTTTTATTTCTGGTATTTCAGCCACCAGTTGTATAATTTAAATACATTTTGTAACGCGCAATTCTTTACATGGTTGATGCATCGCACAGTGAGGTATTTGCACCGAAAAGCCGCTCAAAAGCCAATTCAAAGCTCTACAAAGTTCTAAAAACTGTATGATGGGAGAAATATTATTAATTAGTTTAATACAAAACTAAACAAATTTAAATTTGTCGCCACTCTGGTCGCTCACTCATCGCTCATCATAGCGCTGTGTAAGGTCCGCTCAGTGTTACTAAATTCGGCTCCCACTCGCACATGCGCACTGTCTTTAGCCCCAGTAAAGTATCTAATATCACCATAAAACTGGCGCCCTTAGTCGCCCCACAGAAAAAGAGAATTATTAACGAAAATTGTAAATGCTTCTTAACATGCAATAATATTAATTCTGTGGGTAAATTATAACATAGGGATAGGGATTGAAATAATTGTACAGACAAAACACATGTTTCACAACTAAAAAAACAGTTTTCCCGGTTTTGGCGCCAACCGTTGTTATAGGATCATACATTGTTTCCTATAGCTACAGCACTGCACGCTCAGCTTTTTTCGACGCGCATGTGCGACTGGGAGCCAAATCTGACACCACAGTAATGCACTGATTTGATTTTGGCTATCATTGCACAAAACAGTTCGCAAATGTAAACAATAAATGTATACATTTGTTGATAAATATATAGCGCATTTTATTTCAACATCTTTAGTGAACTCCAAGTATTGCTCGAGATGCACGATTATGCTACTTGGAATTCAGTGTCAAAAACTATAAATATATGTTTATGTATTTGACTTGTATTCTATTGAAGAGATATAATTTATAAACGGAATTATACAATTTAATACGATACAATCTACAGATGGATATTGATGATCAGATAAGAAAAATACAATAACAAAAGGTAGCGAATAATAAATGTGATAACTACTTTTATTGTTCATGTGAGATCATCTGTCAGATGATCGTTTAGGAACAAATGTTTCATTAGTCAACGAAACAAGTACCCAAATGTTGACACTAGGAATGTTCCATTTAACTCATCCCGAAGTATTGTCAGAAGCTGAGCTTCGAGAAATATTAGAAAATGTGAGTGAATAAGGTTATGTTTTGACTATATTTAATCTTCAGTGTATAATTGTTAGTTATTGAATTCGTAATATGCTTGGTAAAGTTTATAGTTTTTTGGTAGATGTACAAGTAAATTTTCTTTATGTAAGAAGTAATCTTAAAACATTTACTTGCTTTATGTTAATCTATACTTGTATCATCTATCTATCACGACACATCTTTTGTTGATGTATCCATTGTAAATGCTTGTCACTGACTTTTGACTTTCACTTTTAATTTGTTTATAGAGTTGCATTGACTTCAGTAGTTATGAACACTTCTCGAGATCTCAATTAATAGAATTATATAAACGAGTAGCGATGCCGCTACCTCGAAGAGAATTAGAAGACACACAGAATTCAGATACAAAGAAAAATAACGAAGAAAGAAGTTCAGTTAATGAGTCTTGTACAAATTCAGTTTCCTTGTAAGTAGAAATATTTGAAGTCAGGAAAATTTGTGTTAATTTTTAAAGTGTTTATAATTGATATGTAATATGTATGCAAAATGTGTATGTAAAATCCATTAACTAAGTAAATCCATTTTTATCTGTGTAACAACTTCTTAAATACTGTTGTAAATCATATGAAATAAACAGTAATTAAGATGTTTAAATCGTAACATATTTGTTTATGTTTTTAATATATAACTTGTTTAAAAAGTAATAAATTTGATACACAGTTTTGTTAGTAAATCATTGATATGACTTAACTCTTTAATCAAGTATTATTTTGCTCAATGTCATCAATTTTCTTTATCTCGTAACATTTTTTATAGGAGTAGTATGAATGATACAAGCAAAAATATTAATCGAATGAAACCACTTCAAACTCCTTATACAACAAAATCGAGGTCTCCTACGACCGATTTAAGATGTACATCTAAGAAAATACATTTATGTAATTCAAATAATAACAAACACTGCAGAAGTGGTGACAAATGTCTCAATAGTGAGAAGCTTGATGTATGTATTTTTACTTATGTGTATACAACAGTACTAAAAGTTATATAATTATAAATAGATTAGTGTAATGAAAATAAATGATATCAATAATGATAAAGTATTAATACAGATTATATTACAAACAATATTTGTCACTGTTCTTTAATGAATTCGTTTTCATGGATTAATTCAATAAAAATGAATTGTAAAACTATCATTTATTTCAGGAAACACCATTAAGGAAAAGACAGAAGATTACATGGCCCTAATATTATGACGATATAGAATGTTTATGGTGTATAAACATTACTTACTTTAATCTATACTCCTGTTTATATGATAAACTGCTATAAAGCCTAATAAGATATTTACAAATCCTCGTAAACCTTTTCTATACAATAATGAAATAAGTTTTATTAAAAACAATTTCATTTTACTGAGTAATGAATGATTTTAAATAAACTAGCAACGTTGTTCCAGAACTTTCCTTGTATTATTTTTAAATAATTTAAAAATTTTATCGTTTTTAGTAATAAAATAATTGGACAAAGTATAATTTCCCTCTTTGCTTCATACCACATTATACACTTACAAATATAAAACTGTAATATAAGTGTTTTTATATTAACTGTGTATGGTCTAAAATAAAGGTAATATTGACTTGTATCAATGAGTCCTAGACAAGAGTTAATTTTCAAAAGATATATTTGTATTGAAGAAAAACTCTAATTTATACATCATTTTATCAGGAAAAATGATTTCTAGTAATACTGAAAAAATTACGCATAAATTAGTCTTATTAAACAGTTTCACGTAACTGTAATTAATTAAATATCATTGTATAGTTTGATAGTCATCAGGAAGTAATCGTATTACAAAACTTCAAAAAACCTAATCCGTAAATGGTTCCACAGAGATATGATGAGTATTATTTAAAAATGCTATTAATACTTTGCATGCGTTGTGGAAATTTAAATTAAGCCATGTTATTGTATGTAATTTACAAGATCTATGTGGTTAAAAAAAAAAGAACGTTTTATGGCTAATACCGAATAAGGGGAAAAAGTTATTGAATCAAGACAATTCTATTTTATGCAACTAGTAACGCGTGCCATGAATTATACGTTGTATATCAGCTGTTACACAGAAGACCGAAGACCATAATATCAAATTTGAAAGCGAAATGCAAGCATTCCTGAGCGCATAGTCTCAGGCTGCTTGCGATTAGTATTCTCTACGCTTTGTGTCTCGCATGACGGAAACGTTACACTTACAACTGGGCTTAAAACTACACCGAATTACGTAACAGTGAAAGCATACCGGTGGTCAACAGGAAGAATTATTGACCGATTTTATCTCCATTTTCTTAACGTTACACGTTTCGTGATGCTTATCTTTTTTTTCAGTAACTCGAAGATTGAAAATAAATTTTTATATGAACGATTATTCTGGACGCCTAGAATTTTTAACTGATTGTATGAAAAAAAAATGGCGAAGTGATTCAGAAGAGAATTTAAAGATCGTATTCGTAGAAATTGGAGCGAGAAATTAGGACATTAGGAATGAAAAGTTTTAATGTGTTCAATATTGCGATATTTTTATCAAATGTTTAATTTATGTAATAGATTGTAAGATTTTAAGAAGATGGCCTCTGGCGCTCTATGCGCAATTTACAGATCCAGAGAGGATTTTCTTAGAGTAGAACTATATTTGCATATATTTTCTTTATCTGTATACATTACTTTCTTTAAACAGTTTTAAATAAGTGCATCAATGCGTACATTATTTTAATTTGATTAATATGCGTATCAATAACATGAATAGTAATGTGTGCATAGTATTGGGGTAGTAATAATAAACGGGTAGTCTTTCAGATTTATTTCTAAACGAAGTAAATCACCTACAGTGAAAAGATTTATTGTAATATATTTGAAATATAGTAGAACTATATTTGCAGATCGACTGGGCGTTTAATAATGTGTTCTTTATCTGTATATATTACTTTCCTTAAACAGTTTTAAATATGTGCATCAATGCGTACATTATTTTTATTTTATTAATATGTATATCAATAGCATAAATAGTCAACTCACAACTAACTGAAAATATATACAGTGCATTTCCAAGAAAATGAATACAAATTGTAATTTTAACACTGCTTGTGTGAATCTTAAAGCCCTAGAAAAACATTTTCTGACTCTGTACGTAACATACATATACAATTCTATAAGTAATGTGTGCATAGTATTAGGGTAGTAATAATAAACGGGTAGTCTTTCAGATTTGTTGGACTGTATTCGGGCAATATTTGATTCCTGTCAGTTGGAAATCTTTGCTTTTAACAGTTTCTACGTTTAGAAGTCGATTATTTTGTACAAAAAGTACCGTGTAATTTGGGGGATAGTACGCTTTGGAGACATTGAAAGCTGTCCCCCTCGGTGCACACATGTGGAGAGTCGAAAACGAGAGCGAAACTTTTGCTTCGACGACGGAGGCGTGTCACGTACAAAAGTTCTCGAGGCTGTTTGCGATGCATCGAGGGCTGCGATGAGCATCGATTCACGTACGACAAACGACCACCCTGTGGTTCCTATAAATACCTTTGTCACTGGAACCCGAACAGTCAGTTCCCTTCTTCACTTTCGTTCGACCATAACGTTACATTGTACTCGATCAACATGGTTATCAAGGTGAGAATGACATTTGGTTCTTAGTTTCATTAGCTTTCACATCCAGTAGTGCCTTCGTTATGTGGACGAATTGGGAGACAAAGGAGTTCTGATAAAAGAAGTTTCATATGATAGAACAACAAAATAGTTGACGTTCAATTTTACTCCATTTTTAAAACAAACTTATATGAAATGCTCTTTCTCTTTAGTAAAATAAAAGAAATGGTTTTGAGAAACAGCAAATACGTTACATTGAGTAATTCAGTTTTTGATTTTATACATATGACTCTTTTTTTTAATGTACAGATATAATTGAATTATGAAAATACTATACAAAGCTATAATTACTTATCACTGATCGTTAAATATAAAGTTTTAAAATTGTATGATTAAACAATGGACGTAGAAGACTTCATCGAATGTTTACTATGTGTAATAGATACCAATAAGCCAACTCACAACTAGCTGAGAATATATACAGTCCATTTCCAAGGAAATGAATACAAATCCTGATTTTTCATTAAACACTTTGCTTTTAAAATTGTATGATTAGACAAAGCACATACAGGAGTTCATCAAATGTTTACTATGTGTAATAGATACCAATAAGTCAACTTACAACTAGCTGAGAATATATACAGTCCATTTCCAAGGAAATGAATACAAATCCTGATTTTAACACACTGCTTATGTGAATCTTAAAGGCCTAGAAAAACATTTTCAGACTCTGTACGTAACATACATATACATTCTATTATTATTAATATTATTGGCTGGTTACGTTGCAGAAAGTAATGATCCTGATGGCGATTGGAGTTTTCGCGACGTGCAGAGGTGCCGCAGTTGCCGTGCCAGCTTTGCCAGTGGCCAAGTTCGCGCCGGTGGATCCAGGCTTGAATTATGATCCTCACCCGCAGTACACTTATGCCTACGACGTACAAGACAGCCTAACCGGGGATTCGAAAAGCCAACACGAGACAAGGAATGGCGATGTTGTCAGTGGCAGTTACAGTTTTATCGAGGCTGATGGTACACGGAGGATCGTCGAGTACACGGCGGATCCTCTGAATGGATTCAACGCCGTTGTGCACAGGGAACCGGTGGCGGTCATAAAACCCGCTGTCAAGGTTGCTCCTGTCCTTTTCCACCCTTAAGGGTTACCAGCATTGGACCAAAATCTGTTATCTGCTCAAGGCCATCGCTGTCTCCACTCTATACTGCATCTGGTTGCATCTCCATACTGCATCTGCCTCTATTTTTCATCTTCCCTCTCAATCTCTTCGACATCTCTTCCATAGTGTAGTCCCTAAGTTACGGGCTTCCTTGGAAAATGTTCAAAAGAGGAAACGAGACAAACATATCGGCAAACTTCAGGCTTATTCGAGGCCCAGGGTTTTCCCCGTCTCTGCCGATAACCAACATCTCCCATGGCAATGTTGATATTATTCAATTGTAACTCGGAGGAAGATACGTTTGCTTTTGTTTATGCTTGACTAGTCATCTCATAATGTACATATTGTAACGATTTTGTAATTACACGTTTGTATTAAAGTTTTTTTGTAAAACAGATTTGTTTACCCTTCATCTGCGTTTTCCTTTAATGTACCACACGGAATGTAATGCTGCAATGTTGCGAGAATATTGCTGCAATATTCCTGCATGATTGGTAATATTGCTGCAATGTTCCTGCAATATTGGTAATATTGCTGCAATGTTCCTGTAATATTGGTAATACTCCTGTGACGTACTGCAATATTGCTTGTCGTACGAGACTGTCTATTTCAGACTAAATGTAAAAAGTGTTATTTATTTTGCATCCCTAAGATTTTATAATGTTATTAATTAACAAATTTGATTTGTAACATGTATCTAGTAATGTATCTAGAATAATGTATCTAGAATGCTTTATGATAGACTTTCAATTCCTCTTTGTAGATCTGTGGTTGGCAACCTTCTTTGACTCTGACTCGATGAACAATATTGGTTTTCGCAAGTTCGTAGTATTTTTTAACACACCCATAAAGTTGAAACATGCAAATAGGCACGTCCAATATATGTAAAAGATTAATTAATACGAAAATAAAGGTTTATTTTTTATTTTAATTACTGATTTGGTTTCCTAGTTTTGTAATATCTAACTATAATAAATATTGATCGATATTAGTTATTTTTAAGAGAACTAATATTCATTATTACTAATATTCGGAGTCACATTCTACGTGAAAAGATGCCCAACTTTTGTTTCAAACATTTTCTTGTAGGTTCAATATTTCTTAAGGTATTTAGCTGATTTTTCGTGTTTATGTCATAGATAATTTTGTTTTTCTATTAAAATGACAACATTACTTTCTTCTGGAAGGTTTTATATTTCATTTCATTTGGAGGAAAGAAAGGAAGAAGGAAAGACAGACAGACAGAAAGAAGAAAGAAGGAAAGAAAGGAAGAAGGAAAGAAAGAAAGAAAGAAAGAAGAAAGAAGGAAAGAAAGGAAGAAGGAAAGAAAGAAAGAAAGAAAGAAAGAAAGAAAGAAAGAAAGAAAGAAAGAAAGAGGGAAGTAAAGGAAGAAGGAAAGAAGGAAAGACAGACAGACAGAAAGAAGAAAGAAGGAAAGAAAGGAAGAAAGAAATACATGTTTCTTTCCAATATTGGTTTACTGGTATTGCGTTAATTTCGGTTACGCTTGAAATTTGAGTGGAATCGAATTGTAAGTGGTCGCATCATTTGTATGCCGATACATCAAACAGCGTCATTCGAGGTTGTCCGCCGAAATTACGAAAGGGAGTGAATTTTATGTATACGCTCATTGTGTCCCTTCTTTGCTTTCCCAACCAGTACGTTTTCACACCATCGACACATCATGAATTCTAAGAGTAACGCTATAAACAACGTTAGGAATAATACCACAAAATAGTTTTCAGTACTTCAATGATAATCTGAATTAATGTCGACTGGATGGTTCGGTACCAGAGAATAGAATATCGTTTTGCATCAGACACTTTTAATATCGCATAAAAATATTGATATGTCCACCGTGAGAATTGTATGGATTTAAAGAAGTCGTTACTATAATAATTTTTCTTATTAGGTACTCGTAGTTACTAAATATTGTTTACTGGATTTTAATTATTTAGTATATTATTTACTACTACTCCTGTATTCAATGGCAGGCTATTACCAATTTTCTCTATTTTGTGTGGATAAATAATTATTGTAATTTTAATTATTTAGAATATTTATGACTATATGATAATGATATGATAATATGATACTAAAATTTAAAATCCTACAAAAGGGAGTTCAAAGGCAAACTTTTGCATATCTCTCTGTATTAGTCAATGCTTCTGGATCTGTCATATAATATTATTTTCTGCTTTTACTTCAATATGTATGATGGTATAATTAAAGAAGTATACACAAACAACTTTTTCATAGTTACTTTTAAAGATACATAAATACTAGTAAGATCATTTTCTTTTTAACATAGTGTTTAGAAACACGTCTATAAATTTCATATATTTTATGTCATCTCCTGTCCTCTAAGAAGATATCTTTTCTCTCCCAATTACTTATAATTAGACTGCGGATCTTTATGCAAAATAAAATCTTGGCAAACGTATCTACAAAAATTGAACCCAAATAGGAATTTATTCTATTTTGCAAATATTATAACATGAACTTTGTTATTAATCTTTTTTATATTTTTGCATATTGTTTGCATTTTTTAGTTTCTTACACATTCAAATTTCCTATAAATGCATAAAGATCCAAGTAGATCTTTAAGAAAGTCTACTTATAATGCTTTTGCCTAATTATGGTGATGATAAATGTTTTTTTTTATTATAGAGAAATAGTGGAAATATACTCTATAATATATCTGAATTGGGAATGTATTCGTGCAACCAATACCCCAATTGGGTTAATCCCCTTAAGGCAAGCCTTCTTCTTGAAGGAGTTGATCATTTGATTGATACGTAAAGCAGTTTTTGTACAATACAATAGAATAGAGAATAAAGTACGAAGAATAAATCTCAAGATTTATTCATTAATATATCTGAAGAATTATTGTGGCCAGATTTATTCATATAACACGTCATTCTCATTCTTAATTTAACGAAACTAATACTTTTTTCATTTATTCAAGAAAATAAATGTGAAGAATAAATTTGTTCATGCATTTATTAGAAACTTATAGAATGCATGATGTATGTATGTTATAAATATATAAAATGCATAAAGCCATTACAGCTTTTCCATGGACTCATCATATACTTATGAAAGAATGAGAACATGAGTTTTTCTTATTTTTACAGATTTTTCATACATTTCTTATCTATACTAGTATTATGCATAAATTTCCAAACTCTCCATTACATGTCCTTCCACATATTCCAAACTTACAACAATGTACATGAATGTCCCCTCCCCCCCCCCTATTTCTACAAACTTCTAATATCTTTGTTATAAACTTATCATACAAACGAATTTCTCTCATATTCATATAAATATTCCATACATTCCCTACAAACATATACAATGCATGAATTTCCAAGCTATTCATTATTTAATTTTCCCTTGCACTTGTTTCAAACTTGTTCATTTTAACTGTTTCATCCATTTGTTATAAACTTATAATACAAACAAATTTCATATAAAATAATAATAAACATATAAAATACATGAATTTCCAAGCTCTTCATTATTTTCCCTTGTACTTGTTCCAAACTTCTTCATTTTAACTGTTTCATAGATTTGTTATAAACTTATAATACACACGAATTTCTCCCATATTAGTGATTTTCCATATATTTCTTATAAACATATCAAATGCATAAATTTCCAAACTCTTCATTACTTTCCTTTGCACTTGTTTCAAACTTGTTCATTTTAACTGTTTCATGTATTTGTTATTATCTTACAATATACATGAATCTTTTCCATATTCTTATAAATGTCCCATATATTTCTTTCAAACATATGAAATACACGAATTTCCAAACTCTTCATCATTTTCCCTTGTACTTGTTCCAAATTTCATTTTAACTGTTTCATGCATTCATCATAAACTTAAAATACACCCCAATTTCCCTCATATTCATATAAATATTCCATCCATTCCTCACAAACATATAAAACCCATAAATTTCCAAAACTCCTCACCCCTTTTCCTCGCCAAATACTTAAAAACCCTTCAAATTTTCTCGCTTTTCCCCAACCATTTCGATCTCTAAGCGTGCCATCCATCCATGAGCGGCCAAGCAAAGGGTTGAGAAACGTATGGTGTACCCGCTGGGCGTAGATCGAACATCGCCGTAGCGTCACGTAAATGTTAATCGATAACGATCGCGCAACAAGTCGAACTTTTGGCAACGTAGACTGCTCGCCAAGGTGGAGGGTTAGCCCGAGTTGGTCAGCTCCGTGGCGCGTTGCTCGCGGTTTCGTCGTACGACCTCGAAGCCGGTTGCTCCTATGTATCTTCGACGTATTGGCATACAAGTCGCGTGTATGCAATATGAAGAAACATAAGCGCGGCATGCTCATCGTTGTCGTCGCCGTGTTACACACGGCTACGTTTATGAGGAGGTCAATCCGATGGCTAAACAAAGAGGATTCGGCGGATTCATTCTTTCGAATGAAAGAAGGGGAGAGTAAGTGGGGGCGGTGTGTATGCGTGTGTAGAACGGGTGTCTTGGTCGCGAGTTTGGGTGCAAGGAATAGCTCGGTTATTGCTGACGGATGACACGAAAACGACGACGGTCATCACCTGTATAAAAGTACGAGGAATCTTACCCTGAACCATCAGTCTTCTGGCGATCCTCTCGCAAATCAACATGGCTGGAAAGGTAAGGAAAGCGTTCCTCGATACGACACTCGATGGCTTTGCATTGCGATCAATTGCGGTCCTCGAACTTAATTCGCATTGGGGATCCACCGGTCGAGGGAAACCCCGAACGGCAGCTACATAGTGTACGGATTTCCGGATGGCATCTCGACCCTTTCGCGCTGGCTTTCGATTCCTCCCTTAAGGGTGCGCAGGAGTCGGAACTAAACTCCGAGGTGACTTCAGCGACAATTGCGGAAAAAATAGGAAGCTCGCAAGGATAGATAGATCTTTATCTTCTTCAAGAATTTTTATTGAAGCGATAACAATTTTATTTACATTTTCTATTATAATTTCTTATTTGTCTTTTTCAATTTTACAAAAATCTTTGTCAGACGATCTAGTGGAACGTCTAAGAAATGAATGGTTTCACGGTGGGCACGATAACTCAAATCAGGTTCAAGCTAGAACAGTGAAACAAAATTAATTAGTTTCTTTAGTCCAAAAACTAGTGAAATACATAGCCGTTTTTAAAAATATACATTTTTAATATAATTGTATCGTTTCAAAGTAAAACATACAAAAGCCTAAAATGACCAGAGATGGGAAAAATTTTAGGCTTCGAATAAATTTGAAGTTTGCCGATGTGTTTGTCTCTTCTTTGGAAAATGTCCAAAAGAGGAAACGAGACAAACGTGTCGGCAAACTTCAAATTTATTCGAAGTCTAGGGTTTTGCCCATCACTGCTGCGCACCCTTAACCTCTCAGGATACTGTTGTCAACTTGAGGGGTTTGTCCCCAAATTTAGGGGGAAAACGTATGAACGGGGTTTTTTTTAGAGGTTTAAATTGTATAGGGGAATTTTTGAGGAACAAATTTCGTAGAAGAATTTGTTTAGGGGTTTTCTAATGTCAGCGCCATTCGTTAAGGTATAGTTGTTCACCGTTGATATTTTGAGTTAATTGACCATCTAGTTTAGGAGATGTATGATTAATCAAAATACGAAAATATGTTAAGAAGAAGTAAATTGTTAAGAAGTAGATGTTCTTAAATTATAGAACATGGAGCTCAAATATTTTCCCAGTCGCATCGGACCCCAAATACGAAAATATGTAAACTAGATAGTCAATTACCTCAAAATTTCGTAGGACTATTATTTGGCAATGGTACGCATGTAAATATGATTTCTTTGTAGTTTTTACAAAATTATTTACGAGATTTCGATTGTTTGAGAAATAATGTTGGTTCATTAAGTTCCAGAGATTTCTTCCTGCTTCTGTTATATCGTGAAAGTTAGTAAAATTACATGAATTTTTAGACAAATTCTATAACGTTTTTTGCATTATACAATTTGTTTATCATATTATCGAAAATTACGAACTAATATTGTTGATTCTAATTTAAGAAGAAAAATTTTGTATCTTTTGTATGAAAGATTCTGAATTGTACAGAAATATCAAGACGTTACCGACAAATAGTTTATAAATTACAGCTTATGTTAATTTGTATAATGTATAATGTTGTTATTATCGTTTCTCTTTTGCAGACGTCATTAATAACATTTCCTTTACTCTATAATTTTGTATTATATTTGTTTGTATAATATAAATCTTACGACCATGCTTATACATTATCCAGTTTGCTCTAACAATAAGCAATAACTCACATACATGCCTGCCAACGCACACACAAAACCTAGTTACCAACTAAAGGAAGCCATTATCCCTATAACATATAAATAAGGATATTATACATTCTCATTAACACGGGAATGAAATAGGAATATAATAAATAAATAAAGCATATTAGGGGGGAAAAAGAATGTAGGGGGTTTAAAGCCAAATTTAGGGTTTTTTTTAACTTGCGTCGGGGACAATCGTTCTTTACTGGTTGGGAACAGTGGCGCACCCTTAACCCCCCAGGATCGACATCACTATAGTGTGAAGGGCAAAACCCTAGACTTCAAATAAATCTGAAGTTTGCCGATAAATTTTCTCGTTTTCTTCTTTGTAAAATGTTCAAAAGAGGAAACGAGACAAACACATCGGCAAACTTCAGATTTATTCGAAGCCTAGGGATTTTCCCATCACCGGTCAAGCGCAATCGTTCTCTATGGTTGGCAACAGTGGCGCGCACCCTTAACCTCTTAGGAAATGTGACATTTCTTTTGATCGATACAATATTTTCGTTTGCATCAGCTTCTTTTTGTGATCGAAGTAACAAGCCACATAATTAAATGAGCTATTTAATTATTTTTATGCTACATTTATAAAATACAATGACACCACTATAGTGACTTTCGCGGATGTCATCTTACTTAACGATGCGCCACAGTGACTTACTTCTTCCACGTAATTCGCATCGACCTCTGCCATACAAATAAACATCCCCGCGCAAAATTCAGCCGCGCCTAAAAGGTAAATCATCCATTTCTCGACAATTACGGCATTCCACAGGTAAGAGCATGGAAAGCACCGAGGAATGGAGACAATACTAATTCGGCACCTTTAAATTCGTGAAAGTCTAGCGTCTCACGTTCCGCATTTAAAGCGTTTAGGCATTCTAGAAAAGCCACATGCACGCCTGGTAATTACGTGAAACGGTACTAATAGGTAATTTGAAATTTCAGCTCGTCGTACTCTTAAGCTTGGCGGCTGTTACGAAGGGAGCCTTGGTGGCCACATTGCCAGCAGTACCTGCTCCCGTCGTGGGAGCCGTGCCTGCGGCGAAACTCGAGGAATTGGACGCGATTCCCCAATACAGTTTTGCGTACGACGTCCAGGATGCTGTCACAGGGGACTCGAAGGCTCAGTACGAGACTAGGAACGGCGACATAGTGCAGGGTAGCTACAGCTTGATTGAAGCAGACGGTACCCGTCGCATCGTGGAATACACGGCAGACCCAATAAACGGATTCAACGCAGTAGTCAGTCGGGAACCAGCCACAGCTCTGGCTGCCATTGCTGCCCCATTGGCGTCCTACGCACCTGGCATCGTTCCAGCAGCAGCAGGCGCACCTGTTTTCCCTGCACCACCTGCACCAGCGCCAGCGATCCCCGCTGCTGGACCAGACTCTGACGTCGAGGTCGTTGAAGCTAGATCCGGTCCCCTGGTCGCAGCTGCGCCGACAACGCGCGACCAACAGCTTCGACAGCAACAGGAACAACAGCTGCAACAACTGCGCGAACTCGAGAGGCAGCAACGGGAACAGCAGCAGCAGCAACTCAGGCAACAGCAGCAGCTTCAACAACAGTCCAGACTGCAGTTGCAGCAGCAGATTCAATCGAGACAACAGGATAGGCTGGATCAAGGAAGGAGACAACAAGAACAAGAGCAACCCCAGAGACTGCAGCAAGCTCGATCACAGGAACAACAACAAGATGCACCAGTGAAGGCTGTTGCTGCCCCGGTGCAGGTGCCCATTGCTCAACGACTGGTTGGACTACCTCCAGCAAACGTCATCACCAGCTACGCCAACTACCCCTTCGCCTACGCCTACACGTCTTCCTATTCCTCGCCTTTGGCATACGCAGCGCCCATCTCTTACGCACCTACCGCTCCAATTCTTTGAAATGTTTTTTTTTATTTTTAATTTGAATTGTTATCGCACACGACCGCAAAATTGATATCGATGTTTGACTTACAAAGCTCGAAATAAATCTCGCTTTCAATCACCTGCGGAGTAGCCGGTTTATGTACTCGAGTTCCTGTGATTTATTTCTTAACGATTCTCAGCTCTGTTATCAGCGTACTTTATCCGAGAAATCTGTAAAGTTTGTATTATCTGTAAAGTATATAATATTTGACAAATAATCTCGCGAATGTTTCCAGTGGCGAATAAAAGACGAACAGATTTTAATTTTAAGTGGAGAATTGTATTTCGCGATGGAGGAATAAACATTTGTTCCAATGAATGTTTAATGGAACAGAGTTGCGAACAAATTCCTGCACGTTCATTTTATTCGCCGTTTTTCGTTCGAGTAAAGTTTCAACTACCTCTGATTCTTTCAAGATTCGTGGGAGTATTACATCTCGCAAGGAAATGAAATATTCATGAGAAAGTAACGAGTTGAACTACTTTATGTATTTAATGAGTGTACAATGTATATACTCAAACACCAAACTAAATTTAAGTTTACTGTTCGATCGATTACAGTGGAGTACATTAAAGTTCAGATAACTTGTTTTATATTTTCGATCATTACTTCGACTAACGATAGAAGAAAGTACAATCAGTGAAAGATAATATAAATATCAATTAAAGTTATAAATTATATAAATATCACGTTAAATGTGAAATTTCCTTATAATTTAATATTTTCGTTTGCATCAACTTCTTTTTGTGATCCGAAGTAACAAGCTACATAATTAAACAAGCTATTTAATTTTTTCATACTACATTTATAAAATACACGAAGTAATAAATGTGTATCTACATACACTCGTGAATATAAGTCTTCGAGTAATTTTGCACTGCACCATTTACTTTTGTAAATTATTCAAGATTGCTTAAAACCGGTCTCCTCGTTTTCACATTTCGCATTTACAATTCCAAGAACTCTATTTTCACGTAACTTGGCCGAAATAAATTTTTGTTTGTACAATTGCGCAAAATTCAACGAATGTACTATTTTTGGACATTTTTACTAGCGACGATAACTGATAAATGTTTGGTTTCGTATCTCGTTCGTTATCCTCTTCGAGCAGCCGTTCCAGTTCTACCAATTCCGAGAAAAAGTTCTTCGCTCGTGCTTTGCATATTGATAATTGGTGGTCTCAATTTTCGAACATTATGCGGGCCACTGTCGTATTGCGAAATCCATACAGCGAGTGACTTTAGTAGTTGACCACTTCGCAATTTTTACTTTGACGCTTTGCAATTTTGTTTGTGACGAACTAATTAAAGGACAATTTATATTAACACTTTATCTACCGAGCTATTTAGAAACAGTCTTTAATTCAAAAAAGAATTTTCTATACTAGCATATGCCAATACAAGCTGATAATAATTTCTCAATACTGTTACTAGATACATTGAAAGCCAAGTCTGTTTCCAAACATTGAACATTGTAAGTAGACAACCATCAACACAGTAAATAAATTCGAATAGCTAAATACTGCAGTTAAAAAGCCTATAAATAGGCTCCCGGTAAATAAAGTGTTAAGATATTGAGTTCAGTTATTAAAAAATAGTAAATAGTAAAAGTGACTCCTTTTTTCACGAATATTTATTGGAGAAGATACATTTAACGCGCAATGGGACATTAATATTATATACCTATCTTTCGATTTACATTGATTACTCAAATTCCATGTAGAAATCATAATTTTTGTAATAAAGAACCGACAAATTGAAAATTACTTGAGAATTACATTTACGTATTCCAAGAACAGTAGAAATGAAGTAGAAATGGAAAAAGAAAAAATACCAGTCTATAAAATAACAAATACATAAAGGTAAATTTAATCATTTTAATTTTCATTTCTACTTTAACTAGTACATTCCAAGCGTCAGAATATTAAAGTAATCCCAAAAGTAGACATTGGTCTGTGCGTGACTCATTTTATAACAAACTTAATTAAATACATTAAATTAATACATTAACTTTATATTTGATAATGAAACTACATTTAGATATATAATAATATGTACCTTAAAGAATTTTTCTTCCTCGAGAATTTTTATTGAAACGATAACAATTTTATTTACACTTTTTATTATAATTTCTTATTTCTTTTTCAATTTTACAAAATCTTTTTCAAAAGATTTAGTGGAACGTCTAAAAAATAAATGATCTTGCGGTGGGCACGATAACTCAAATCAGGTTCAAGCTAGAACAGTGAAACAAAATTAATTAGTTTCCTTAGTCCAAAAATTAGTGAAATACATAGTTGTTTTCAAAAATATACATTTTCAATAAAATTGTATTGTTTCAAAGTATAACACACAAAAGCCTAAAATTACGGTTAATGTTGGACAAAAAAATACAAATATTAATATAACAATAAAATTTTACTTATTTCAATAAAAAAAAACATATGATGAGTACATAAAAAGAGATTCGAGTCGATCATTGAAAATTTGATGGAGAGTTTCAGGATGTATAAACCCATTCTTATTATATAATTATATTTATTAGAGATAATAAAGAAGAAGAATATATGTGAGAACGTCGAACATAAAACTTACCTGATATCATAAAACTGTGCCAACCTACCAACTTATTAAAACAAAAGATAACTAAAACTGACTCTCGTGGGTGATCAGTACTACCAACAAAATTCCCGAGACTACGGTGACCATCGATTTTTGAAAATGCTGTTTCGAGAAAAACGCTTTCAAAGTTTTCGTTACGTTGATACGCTCCTCTCTAATGTTCGAAACTGTTCTTTGATATCGATTTCTAATTATCGGGATATCATTTTCGTATACAGGGTGTCCCAGGGAGGTCCTTCAAAGGGGTGGTTCAGGAGGTGATTTGAAACAACTTTTTCCTTAGCGAAAATGTCCGAGGCTTCGTTGAGGAGATAATAACGGAAAACACTGATCAATTAGAGTGCGTAGCCTACCCTACCTCGACCAATCAGAGAGCGAGTATGCTTGTGGAACGCCCGCGGTAGCATACGTTACGCGCTAGATGGCCGCGCTCCGATTGGTCGGGGTAGCGAAGGCTACGCGCTAGGCGGCTGCGCTCATAGGCTACCGCGGCCGCTCCACCGGCATACTCACGCTCTGATTGGTCAGTGTTTTCCGTTAATATCTCCTTAACGAAGGCTCAGACAACATTTTCACTAAGAAAAAGGTTGTTTCAAATCACCTCCCGAACCACCCCTTTCAAGGTGTTACAATATTTTTGAGACACCCTGTATATGTGTAAAGAAAAAGTAGATGTTGACCGGCTGCTTTTAAAAATAATCACACGAAAGCAATACTAACGAAAAAGTGGAAAACAGTGTGAAGAAAAGATTAAGGGCTACAATATTAAAGGATCGACAAAACCGTGTAAATAAACTTTTAATGTCGTTTCTTTGTTTTTCAGGTAGGACAGGGTAGTTATAATGTAAAAATATACAAATGTAAATGTATGTTAGGATAAATAAAAACTTTGTTCTTCAGAGCAACACAATTACTTTAGGTTATTTTGTCTGTTCCTATTAATAAGGATAAATTGTCTTACATATGTATAAAAAGTACTGTATGGAACCAAAAAATCGATTTTTTGAAACAACCAAAGTGGTGTAACCCCTTAATTACTTCAGACACAAATCATTAATTGTTCCAGTACGAAAGTTAACGAATTGGTTACATTAATGTATTTTCAAATCGTTGTAATATTGATACTCGGATTCCCAATTTGCAATGTTGCAATATTATTATTGCGTCCGAGTATTTTCATTCCGTTGGTCTCGTCGCTACCGACATTTGCATCGAGGAAAAAAGGGGAAAAGATTTATTTGTTATTCACGTGGATCCGCGGGGCCGTTTCTTTCTGGATTACGTAGAAGTTCACGGCGGGGCCAGTGTCCTCGTAATTTCTATACCGACGACACAATCGGTTACGTCGCGCGACCTACCTGACCGCGCGTAGGCGTAATAAGTAAAAGCGTCGCGAATAACGTCGATCAATGTCACAGACGTGCAAGATCGATCACTCGTCACGTTCATCCGTGAGCTTCGATTAATCGACGCCCGTGGTTACGCAAGCTCTCGTTACGAAGCGACGCGCACTCCGTTTGCGCAAGAAACGTACGGCGCATGCGCGTATATACGCAACCATGTTGACACGGTTTGACCCAGGGCAGGGCAGGCGTTTTAACTACGCATTATACGGTAATTCAGCAGTTTATTAAAATACAAGGTATATTAAAATAGTTAGTGTTGAGGTTTAGCGAGGAAAAAAATAAAAACGTGCGCAGTTATTTAGCTTTCGTTGAAAATAATATAAAGAAAATATATTCTGCTTTGTAATTAATTTGATACACTGAAATTGCACTCGGTGTCCGCAATTATTATGCACGATGCTCTTTGATATGAAATAGGTTCTCAAACCACGTTTTACAGTTTTTACTCTTAACCAAAAATACACGTTCGTTCGTTCGTCCTAACATTCATACAGGGTCTGCCCCGGATACATTCACACTCGCATATATTCTTTTGTTTCAGTGTTTCCACATTTGCTAATGGAAGCAACACCAACCTCTGAAATTATTTCTCCAACAGTTAGTATTTATTAAATTAATTCTGAATTATTTTAACATGTTTCCTATGGTCCCTCAAAAAATGTGAAGACGTTTTATTAAGCTGTTCAAAAGTAATAAGAGTTTCTATGTAGAACAAATTCACAAGTAAATGTATAAGTTTATGACTAGACTGTGGATCTTTATACAAAATAAAATCTTTGCAAACGTATCTATAAAAGTTGAACCTAAATAAGAGTTCATTTTACTGTGGAAACATTATAATATATCCTTTATTTTCAATACTTTTTTATATTATATTATTGAATTTTTTTTTTTTAATTATTTGAAAGTATGTACCTTCAAGAATACACACTTTGAATTTTTCGCTGTATATAAATAAGATGGCCCTTTATGGCTGCAATTAGGATCAACTTAATAGCTTTAACTAATTTTTCTTAAATAAATTAAATAAACTTAAAATTTCACGAACAAAAATGAAATACAGGGTGTCCCAGAAATGTTGCAACACCTTGAAAGGGGTGGTTCGGGAGGTGATTTAAAACAACTTTTTCCTTAGCGAAAATGTTGTCCAAAGCTTCGTTAAGGAGATATTAGCGGAAAACACTGACCAATCTGAGCGCGAGGATGCCGTTGGAGCGCCAGCAGTAGGCGTGGCTACGCGCTAGGCAGCCGCGCTCAAACGCTATCGCGAGCGCTCCATCGGGATACTCGCGCTCTGCTTGGCCAGTGTTTTCTGTTAATATCTCCTCAACAAAACCTCGGACAACATTTTCGCTAAGGAAAAAGTTGTTTCAAATCACCTTCCGACCCATCTATTTCAAGGTGTTACAACATTTTTGGGACACCCTGTATAACAGTCGATTAAACAACTTTCAATAGGAACTGTCCAGTTCCTTTTGTTCTAGTTTCAGCCATATACAGATACTTTACTCTCAATATTTTTTTATATTATTGCATAACATTTGTAGTTTCTTGCACATTCAAATTTCCTATAACTGCATAAAAATTCGCAATCTACTTATTGATAATGTAAACGTCGGTGTCAACCCAAAATTGACCATTTTTTTACCACCTTCCTTTGTTGATGATCGTATGAATTGCGTTCACTCGTCAACGCAATGTAAAGGTCGACGTTCTCATAAGTCATTGAATTTCTATACTACGTTGACTGCCAGACTAATACTCTTGAAAATTTCTACTGTGTTTAAATTTTGTTTACAGACTATCGGTAACTGCATAATCAAACGTTTATTGCGGTATTTATTTTTGAAACCTTAATCAAAATTCAAATAATTCATTCAAATTCATTCAAATTCATTTTCTTTGATATTCAACTTTCGGAATTAATTTTTGTTTGTTCTTCAGTGAAAATAACTATCACCAGTATATGGGCGACGCAATGCAATCAACGTGATACAGCATTTACTCCAAATCTCAGTTTTCGAGAAGTTGGAGTGTATAGGAGAGAATCGAATGAACTGCTGATATTAAGGTACTATATGCATTTTACAGTTTCTTGCAAATTCAAATTTTCTATAAATGTATTAAATCCGCAATGTAGTTATGACTTATGTTATAATGAGTATAGTTGTTATATTTAATATAGGAATTACATTTAACAGTATTCAATATTCCCATCCTCACCAATATATTCCTACCCTAAACCTACTCAGACAGTATTTTTGTGTAGACAGTATATGCATTAACAATTTCATCACATTCCCTATTACAAGATGGGAATTATATTTAACAGTATTCAATATTCCCACCGTCACGACTGTATTCCTACCCCAAACCTACTCAGACAGTATTTTTGTGTAGACAGTATATGCATTAACAATTTCATCACATTCCCTATTACAAGATGGGAATTATATTTAACAGTATTCAATATTCCCACCCTCACGACTATATTCCTACCTCAAACCTACTCAGACAGTATTTCTGTGTAGACAGTATATGGATTAACAATTTTATTACATTCCCCATTACAAGATGGGAATTATATTTAACAGTATTTAATATTCTCACCCTCACCAATATATTGCTACCCCAAACCTACTCAGACAGTATTTCCATATAGACAGCATATGCATTAACAATTTTATAACATTTTCCATTACGACTTAAGGATTATATAAAATTGCCGGTAAATTTGATGAATATTCCGGAATCTATCCCATTTACCAACTTTAACGGTGATTATGCATAATCACCGCGTTTATTACATACACCGTAGTATAACTAGTTTGAAGTTTCTGCGATGTGACGTCGAATGATCCAGTCAGAATCTAGTGAGATGATTTAATATTGGAGGGAGTTGCAGTAGTAACGCTCGCTAATATGTCAGACTGTCACACGTGCAGTCGTGCACT